AGGTGGCCATGTGTGGTACTGGCCACACCCCACCCCCTTATGCTCCGTACATTCATTAATAAGTGCTTGCTAACAGAAACCTGCACCACGAGTGGATATAGGGGATCTTTGTCTCTGTATGTATGCCTGTGAGCTTGTATGTCTGTGACTATACTTATGACTGGGTCTGTTAATGCGTGTGTTAGCTTGTGTGTTTAGTGTGCGTTGGTATGTCTGTTTAGTTTGTATGTTGAACTTCCTTTGCACCGTTCTAATCCGAGGTGTGTGTGCGTGGCGTGTGCGGGGGGAGTGGTGGTGCAACAGTTAGCACTGTGCTACGAACCTGGCGACCAGAGCTCGATGTTGACTCACGGCCAACACCAGTGACGGTTATCTGAATTGGTCCTGGGCCTTCCCTAGGTCGACTCAGCCTCAGTTGAGTAACTGGTGCGGTGTGTAAATATCGCCACTAGGGAGACAAAGGCAGCCGGGAGTGGTGCTGGCCCCCCACCCCTTTGTGTGTCGTGCCGGCTTTCATAGGTGCTCGCGAACAGCACTTGCCCCGACAGTCTCGTAAGGCTACATGGGGGATCTTTGTCTTGTTTGTAGTAACTGTCTGTGCGTGAGAGAAAGTGTGAATCGTAATGTTTGTTTGCGTTTGTAAAAGTCCATGGGGAAAGCATGAGTTTGGGGTGTGGGAAGCATTTAGGTTAGTTTTCAATATTATTGCCAAGTGTTGCTTCTCAACATAATGAATATATTTGCATAAACATACGCAATACAACAAATGCATGTAAACAACTATAGCTCTTAACCAATTGAAATACAATATATTGCACGTTACATATAACTATACTAAGCTGTACAAATGCACAGTTTAACATTACTTCACTAATCGCACCTCCGATTAGCACGGTTGAAAGAAGTTCAACTTACCAACGAAGAACAATTTTTAGGCATGCCTGCTCGTTTACAAGACTAACAATTTTTTGTTTCAGTGACTTGTACTGATCTCGAGTTTGTGCGGTTCAATTGGTTTGCCGCACTATCACACGGTTGGCATGCCCTTACAAAGCGCGCGTCGGGGCGATCTTTATCGCTGCTGATGGATGGTGGACCCCAGCAAGGTCCCTCGAGTGAAGGGGGGCATTGCGGGGTTAGGGTCCGGGACCCGCGGAGAGGTGGGGCCAGCGGGAGAGGAGGCGACGGACGAAGGGAAACCTGGGACCCGTGTAGACCTGCACGCACCGAGATTAAGATGCGGGATTGAATTTCCGTTTGTGCAGGCGCTCCCGTTTCTAATGAATCGGCCGGGGGGGAAAATGACACCGGGGGGGGGGAGACAAATGCAAGGTAGGCCACAGCCAAGCAGTCAGTGGCCCGAAGAATGTCCATAATGAGAACGTCGTGTTTTCCTGCTGTCACGTCGCGCATGCCAGCGAGATGCGAGCACATGCGTGTGCATCTGGCCCTGCTGCAAGGGCAAGTGGGTGAAACAATTGGTCAGCCCCAACTCCCATTGTCAGCAGGACCTGCAGCTGCATGGGCCTCTGTGGCTCTAGGTTAAACAGCATGTGACGGTTAACTTGTCTGTGAAAGAGTCAAATGTCCTGATGCTTCTGAGCCTACATTGGAATGTCCAAATATCCTCTAGTTTGGGTTCAATATCTGCATACGTACATGTGCAGCACTGTTATCAAGCCACTGCTGGATAAGGGTATCTCACACACCGTGCGTCTGTACATACACGTGTGCCAATGAGTGCATTCGTTACTAAAATACCACTCACATTTATTACCGATTCCTGACTTTCAGAATCAGTCATCAATTTTGAAAATGGTTACCGGTCATCGTTTAACAACACTTTTATCTATCACTTTCATAATTACGTGCACAGACGTGTACACACAGTTAGGTACATGTTAACCTGTTATAAACATGTATGGTGTGGCCATGGGACCCTTATTTGGTACACTGTGCAAGCCCCCAAAGTCTTATATTCTATCCGGAGGTGATAGCGGGTTCTCTGGTTTAGCTTAGGTTGATTTTGGCACAAGTAAAAGCCATTGGGCAATAAATGCTCATCTTTGATGATGGGAATGACATGGGATTTGGGTCTATGTATGTATACGGCTGTGGTGGTGTGATGGATCTCAAAGGGAAGCCCTTGAGTTGAGCCTTGTTAAAAGTTCGCAGCATATAAGTGGGCCGTGATTCAGGCTTCAGACAGAAAACAGTCATCCGTTTTTTCTTAGTTTTTGTATTATTTCAGCATTGTTATCGCCTGTTTAATAATTTTGTTGCCATAACAGTGTGACGTCAGCGCATTTGCCTACGCAGCAGGGAGAGAGAGAAAGTGTGGCCCCAGTGGGGGGAGCTGGCCCATGGCTGGCGGGGGCCTGTGACCATCAGGACGCCACAGGTGCAACGGGCCATCGCACAATTACAGCCATTAGACCCTGAGGGCTTGACGAGAGACGGCCTGCCTGCGTCCCCCACCCCCCAGCCCTGCTGAGGCTATTGTTTCAGGGTCTTGTCTAACGATTGTGGTGGAAGGTTAAGGGGGGGTGCGGGGTAAACATAGACACACGCACACACATTCACATACCTACACGCACGTATGCAAGAGCATTTGTGCGCCAGTCCATGCGCACACATGCTCTTACGTAAGAAACAAATATCCCCCCGTTCAGAATTACGTACTGTTCCGGTAAGTGCTGTATTGTTAAGCTAGAGATGACAGTGGTGTGGTCTCTATGTATGTACTTTGGACTTCTTTGGCACCGGATGTCACCAACCGTGCGAATTGGAAGCGCGAGGCAAGGACAACAAACTAACACACAAAAAACAGTTCTATGCTGGTGTTGACCACACTGAGCTGGGTTCGAATTTTAGGTTAAATCTACCTGGAGTAAGGCTCAGGCCGTATTCGTATTAGATGGCCACGGGTGGACATAATTAGGAATTGGGCCCACATCACCGTGATCCTAGTGTAGTGGACCACGTCTTCTACACCGGGCTGATTTAGTCGCAACTCCCCGTCATAGACATACGTGCAGGTGCACACATGTACATCGACATGAATGCAGCTACCCCTACACGACAATGTCACAAGTGTACGTGTGCGGCAACAGGATGATGCACATGCACGTGCAAATCAAAATACGGCCAAAAGCACATGCCAGTGCACAAGTACGTTTCTTACGTTCCAAAGCACAAGTGCACGTGTCCGCACAACATCAGTCACATATTTGTTTTGCCCATTTGCGTATCATCAGTGTGGTGCAGCTGTGCACTGGCCAAACGAATTATTCCATGACGTCCTTAGACGAAGTGTGACCCGTTAGACAATCAGACACAATGCCTTTCCCACAAGTATGGAAATCAGCATACCGTATTCATGGAGTAGACACGCTCCCACGAATACTGGGTTATGTAAACATACAAAGTGGTACAAAAGTGATTAAACAGCATTGTGCAAATGTACTTAGCTACGATATTTATTGATATTTTAATTAAAGAAGAGTGTATCAGTTATATAATATGCTGAACTTCATTACAAACTATACAGTAAGACGATTATAATTATTCACTCTTGTTGTTCGGTCGCTGCTGTGTGGCAGAAGTAGTTGCTTATGAGTGTTTTCACAATAACTAGAGCTGTCAAAATAAGAGCCTGCGAGTGCTGTGACTAGAAACTAACTTGGCACTAATGTGACAGCATCTCTGTTAGTGTGTCCTTATGTAAGATTTCCAGGGGTTGTGAGAAATGTAAGGTAAGTTTTCTCCAAAATAGATTGTTATATTAATTATGATATAAAATGTGCACAAAGGTGTTTGGCATTTCTTTGGCGGTCGCCTGGGTTTATGTTTTGCTTTCATGGATTTTCCCTTCAGTCGACCATTTTCTCTCTCCTGTGCTCTGAAGAAGGCCCAATGCCTGATACATTGCCTGTTGCTTATGTTGCCTTTTTAAAGGCAGTGTTAATGATGAATGTGTTGAGGTTTTCATTTGCACTTGTGCACCACTGCCATCGCAGTTTCACTAAATAACTTATGTCAAATGTGATATTAATATCAATCTATTAGCTTCGGAGACAGACCCACAATTCTAAATGTCTGCCAAATGATAAAAATGTAGTCCTGCCTTCAGATTATGGATGCCTGAACTTTACAGATGGGCCTCCTCGAAATATGTGAATGACAAGGTGTCAGTTGAAGGTCATTAACTGTTTCGTATTTTATATTTTAATCAACCGTTTTATTATAGTATTGGTTGCCAAGGGTTTTGTTGTTCATGGAGAAATTTTTTTTTTTTACATCAAGCATTAATCTAAAATACAATTTTTTCCAACAAAGTCCCAATGATTATATAACATGACATACTTGGTATAGGCATAATATATTTTAAAAAATGACTGCCGATTAATTCACAATTAATCTCTCTCCTATAAAGGAAGATAGACATACTCTTTGGTTCTTTCGGTAAAGTCACGTAGGTATTATTTTTCTACCTACGTGACTTTACCGAAAGAATAAAAAAGTATAGATTCCTGCAGTCACGAAAGCTTCAAATCAAGATTGAAGATAGACATGCTAACATATCAAAAAATGTGCTCCACGCTTAGCAAAACACTGTCATATAATCCAATATGGCCACCAAATATTATTTTGCAAAATGTAGATGATAATTGATGTAAAAGACGGGAATCCATTTACCAGAAAATGTTCACGAATGCTGATGCTCACACAATATCAGATGCCTCATGTGACATGGGCAACGGGACAAAGACACCTGAGCATGGCGATAGCCAGCTCTTCCACTTGTAATCCACGACAGATTTAATAGGTGCTCGTTAACACCACATAGAATGACAGTCTTATGTATGTTGAGCTTATTTCGCACCGTACTTGGCCAACAATGCTAATTGGAGGTGCGGGGAGAAGGCAACAAGATCTCGACGCTTTGAGAGTCCATGAGAGTGAATGGGAAACACCTTCCCCTTTGTGCCCGTGCGCAGCTACTGGAGTATGTGGGGCGAGGCCGGAGCATCATGGATGTGGGGCTGGCTCAGGCGAGGCATCCCCTCAACACCACCGGACACTACTTCGAGGTGGAGATTATTGACCCTGGCGAGAAGTGCTACATCGCCATCGGGGTCGCTCGCAAGGTATCCTAGTCACGTGCACATGTGCGCCTTCAAAGTACAACGTGCATCACGATCGCCGATCGTGTACGTGTGTGCACGTGTGCGTGCGTGTGTCTATGTTTTGGGGAACGGAAGTGCAGTGGTTGGCGCATTTGAACCCGGCAACCAGAGTTTGGATCCTGATTACGACCAACAACTGTCCTGGGCCTCCCCTAGATCGGCTCAGCCTTAAATTAATACCTGATATGGTGTGTTATCTTCAACACAAATGCGGCCGGGCGAGGTGTTGGCAACCCACCCCCGCACGGGGCATGCTGGCCTTCATAGGCGCTGCTCGCGAACAGCACTTGCCCCGTCAGTCTGTTAAAGGCCATACGAAGGGATCTTTGTCTTTGTGTGTGTATGTTACAAGAAAGAACATATACACTGATTGAAAATAAATAAATGTTGAAAATAAATCAATGTTGTTAATCTGAGAAGTAGATCTCGACGCTTGGACAAATGGCCTTTGTCAAGTGTGTATATATATATGTGTGAGTATAATGAGCGGGTGTGTTAGTGAGATGAGAACCACAATGTAGGCTGGGTGGGAGGGAACCATTGCACGAGCCTCCCGGTGCTCGCTGCTAATTTGGGAAGGCGCCAGCGTTCTGCTTGTAACGGATTAATCAGCAGCAGGCCTTGCTGGGCGGCCTCGCTACCTTTGACCAAAATGTTCGTTGTATTTGGAGGGGGAGTCCGTTCCCCGGGTGGATTCTGGCCCAGGGAGAGGCGTGCACGCGCTTGTGCGCATTCAATCCGCACGTGTGCACGTGCCCGTGTGTCCACACCCCCCCCCCCCCCCCCCCCCCCCCGACGTGCAGGCTTGTTTTCACGGTCTCTGTGTAGGCCCATCACGGCAGCGTTGGAGAAATAAGCGTCGCCATTTGATGAAAGCAGATCCTACAATTATTTCCATTTATTCTCGTACGAGGACGTGTTTCGGGTCATGGGTGTAGTGGCACCAGGCTCTCTCACCTGCCAGTCCTCACCACGTGTCCCGGGTACTTGGTGGCCTGGCGAGGCCGTCGGGCGTTAATACCCAAACCCGCTTGGCACTTTGGGAGATTAATGGTACTGGCGAGATGTCTTCATAATGTACGTGTGATAATGATGTTGTGTGCCTGCGTGATGTACAGCGCCATGTGCTGGAATAAATTGTGGACATCACCCTGTGAGCATTTTTGCCGCACATTGAGGCTGCAGTGGTTATCCTGGTTAACCCTCCAGAACTGCCGAAAGCATACGAACCTAATGGCGGGACCCCAGGCTCCCATAAGCCCTCGACTCTCGCATAAACTGCGTTTCGACCTCATTTTATGTCTGTTGAAGGCGAACGATACGGCATTCTATTCCTCTCGACGGGCTCTACACGATGCGCTAATCAAAGTTTCAAAGTTTTGTTTCTTCTGCGCATTCGTCCTCGCTGCTGTGCTTGGACGACATGACAACAGAATGATCCGCGCCAGGTGGGTCGCGGTGTTTATGTGCGCGTTGGGACGGAGTCGCCAAAAGTAAATAATTTAATTACGACATTGACTTCCGTTTATTCGGGACCCCGGGGTCCCGCCATGACGTTCATATGTACGTAAAGTGCACATTGATGATAATAATATCCAGAAACACTGATGTGCTTGCGCTCAAGTGTTTCTGGATATTATTATTATCCTTACTGTCGTGAGGAGTGAGCTTTTTTTGCATTCTGTGCACGCTGTAAACGTTCCGTGCATGAACCCAAAGACGCTTGTGAATTAGAGGGGCGTCGACCCCGGTCTTTATAAATCCATGTCACCTCCACCCCCTAGCCCATAACTCTCAATCATGTGTGCACGGTGGGGAGAGGCTGCGCCCTAGACTTGCCTGAGTCATCTCCAACGCAGGTGTCCCATCGGTGTTGCACAAGCCCCGTTTCATTTGGCTTGTGACGAATCTTCTGTCGGGAATGGCACAATCTGACCTGAGTTTTAACGGGATTGTGTTTCTCATCATTAAAAACAAAGAGACCTCTTAATACGACAAATGTGTGCTCGTGGAGAAGGCAAGGCTGGTGGCTCGTGCACAGCAAGTAGATCAACATAACAAAAAGTTAAAGCAAAGGTCAAATACATTTTATGATGGGACACTGTGCAGATGGAGCTATGAAGTCAGCCCATATGCAGGTGCTTGATAGATTATTACATCGCAGGATCGTGAGAGGTGGCGACGGTTTAGGGAGGCCTTCAACCAGTAGTGGATTGATCATGGCTGATTATTACAGGGTGTAGGGTATTTTGTACAGTACTGCACTGGGTATAGGGTGTATGGTACTTCGAAGAGTGCAGAGTACTGTGCAGGGTGTAGTACATCGTGTAGGGTGCTGTGCATGGTGTATGATTATATGTACAGGGTATATGGTGATGCGTTGTATGGTGCTGTGTTGTAAAAGGTACGTAGTGTTTTTGTAGGGCTTTATTTAGGAGATTAAACTCATAGGTTCAGTGCAAGGTGTGGTATATTGTAGGCTGTCGGGTATACTTGGGGGCGCCACAGTGGCGAGATGTTAACTACCTCGCCTGGTATACAGGAGGTCGTGGGTTCGATCCAGACCCTGACACCTGTATATTTGGAGTTTGCATGTTCTCCCCGTAGTCACGTGGATTTTTCTCTGGGTCCTTTGGATTTTTAGCCACCACATTTAGAAACATGCATTTAGAGCATTTGCACGTGATTATAAGCCACTTCGTTGAGCTATCATTTGTGGACAGGTCGCTTCTGAAAAAGTGCTATATAGTTCAGTGGGCATTTCCTGATTTTAAAAAAAAAAGTTATTTTCTTATTTTCAGTTTATTGGGCAGAGTGCAGACTTGGATTTTTTTTGCCTATGTTAGAAGTTTGCTTTGGAGAGATTATACGCCCCATGGTTTATTTTAACTTTGTTTACATATTTATATTTGTTTGTGCATTAATTAACATGTTTATATCAAACTGCGTTTGTTGTTCCCAAAGGAAGTCTTAAAGTGTTGATATATATAACAAGTGTCCAGCTAGTCAAGACGCAGGAAGCTGGTGTGCTAGCTAGTTTATTAGTTTTGTTCAATAACCGATTTGATTAGCTGGCTTACCTAGACGGGGCTCCTCTGTTTAATATGCTGAAGGGACATAAACATAATTGATAACTTTCAGCATGATTGCAGTCCTCCATTCTTTTATTTCCACTGTTGGATTAGACCCTTTACATTTAGGCGGTTAGCCCCAGCTGTCGTGTGCAGCTCAAAACTGTCTCGCACTATTTTTGGTGTTCTGCTGGAATCGGTAAGTCTTGTCTTCCCATCTCCATCCTTTGGCTGCCTTACCATTGCTTTCAGTGAGCGGATTCTGCCATGTTACTTTAAGGCTGAAGAGATGCGTGTGTGCCCTCCAAGCCAGATTCATTTCCGAAGCATGCAGGATTTATGTGGAAAATGACCACATTCATCTGAGCTCTAACGTAATAAATATTTATTTGTCCTATTTGTATTGATATCCAAGTACAGTCATGAGCAATAATGTATGAGATGTGATGTGTTGACACATTAGCATGAAAATCAACTGTATAATTTAGAATCCCGAACAGTTTAGTTGTAGCCTGTAATATTTCCACAAAACATCACCTTGATTAAATTAACCATCACTTCATTATCCACGGGGTAACTCTATTGAGCTGTATTTTCTCATTTGTAAGTTGACTTGTGTCCCTCTACTGGGTAATTTTGGTAATTGCTTCGTTTGGCCATGCTTCTTTGGCCCATGACATTGGCACACAATTGGATACCGTACCGTTGAAAAGTGTCCTTGCAGCTCTTATGTCCACAAGTTGGTGAATGGAAAACGCGCGTCGGAAAGCGGCGCGCCCCAACTTAGATCATTTGTTTCCTGCGGAACATTTTGTCAGCGGGAAAGAGAGATGGGGACACGTTGTGAAGAACTGGTATGGATGCGAGACCTCCAGACCACCTGTTCACGTTTCACACAGCTGGAGCACGTGTGAAACGAGCTTCACAGCGGCCAAGCATGGTTCTTTTGTGTAATATTTCAAAGAATGACATTTCCCGCATGCTGGGCAGTATCTTCTAAAGGTCAGTGAAGAATTAGCGGATTAGTGAATAAGTGAATTATTTTCTCTCTAAGCGGGTGAGCTTGTCTCGCGTTATTATGTTTCCCTTTGTTAGGGAAACTCGGCTTGGAATATCAAAGGGACTATAAGGTGTTAAAGCAGGACAAGATAGCTCAAGTCGCCTGTCTTCGAGACGGTTCTTATTCCGTGCATAAAGTGTCGGCGTGTTGCGTATACTGAGCCTTTTAATAATGCAGCCGCAATGCCAGTAAAAGCCGGTGGTAATACGATGTCTTCCTGGCTTCACGAAGCGCTCATTAAAGCACCGTCCAAAAAAGTTGGAGGTTATTTGGGGTCGAGGGTAGATGAAGAGGCCTGAGGACATGTGCGCCTATATTTAATTAGACTCAAACCGCTGCACTGAGCTATGGCTAATGCCAAAAAAAAAATCCTACAGTTAAGGAGGAAGCAGGACTTGGGACAAAGATTTTCACTTGGGCTAATATGTACACGTGTCCCTCCTGGAGAACTGTGTTAAGTTGCAGCGGACAAGGGTAGGTGAATGTAGCCCATCAAGTGCGAGTCGGCCGCCGAGATGGAAAAGTTATTAAAACGGTGCAGGTGTCTCGTGGTTTTGAACCGATGGACACGCGGACGAGGTTTGGCAATGATCCTGTGTCGGTTTTCCATAATTAGGCATGCAACAGATGCCTCCTCGTAAAACACACGGACACGTGCGCACGCAGCCTTGCACGCAACAGCAGCGGACGCACTTGCACACGAACCGCCGCGTGCACACACGTCCACACGAGCGGCTTGGTGCGCGCACAAAATGTGAACAAAGAATCCCCAATTAGTGTCTTCTACTTTTGGGGGGGCCAAGTGAACTTGGGGCCAACTCGTTTACCTT